GGAGATACTAAATTTTCTTCGTACATTTTTGAACACATATAATGATTTAAAATAAATTTAACTTTATTTTTTTTATATATTAATTTATTTTATATTATAACAAGGCGTAAAAAAAACTTTAATTAAATTTTAGTACAATCATTTTGCATATAATTGTTTATTTTTAATATAGTTTAATATATATTATATTTTTTATTTATACTTGAATTTTATTTATTATATTTTTTTACAAATAAAAAATGAGTGAAAATGATAAAAAAATTATTGACCAAGAAACTGTGCATATAAGACAACTTTTAAAAGATCAAGAAGATGAAATTAATATTGAAAAGAAAAAATATGATCAATTACTTGAAATGTTTTCTAATGTCAAGAAGAATGTAGCTGATACTGTAAAAGAATCTTTACCTGAAATCTTAAAAGAAACACTTAAAGGTACTAATATTAGTGATGATATAAAAAAATTAGTAACTGATAAAACAGAAGAAATGATTGAAAAAATAAGTGAAAAAATTAAGGGTGTAGGGGTCGAAGAAGAAAAAAATTTTATGAAAAATATTCAAAGAAATAAACCTTTAACAGATAAACCAATTGATGATAATGTTGTAAGAAATAAATCAAATAATCCTAATGATATTACGTTGCAAGTTTATTAATAATAATTATAAAAAAATATAAAAAAAATAATATATTTTTTTATATTTTTAGAAACTAGCAAATTAAAGAAAAGATTTAGCAAGCATTACAAGATCCTAATTTAGATTATGAAGAAAAAGAAGATCTTTTAAGAAATGATATGTTTAATCCTATGAGATGGAGAGAAGCAAATTTTAATAAATATTTTAAAGATTTAGATATTTTAGCTTTAAATTTAGATTTTAAAGATAAAGATTCTATTATTTTGTAATTGAATTTTTTTTTATATTATATAAATAAAAATTTAAATTTATTATAAAAGAACAGATTTTCATTTTGTTTATTTTAAAAAAATGTCATATTCTGTTCAACAAAAAGTTGCATTAGCAGCAGAAGCTACTCGTCTTCAACAACTCTTAGAAGACTAAGAAAGAGAACTTGAACAATGGAAAGAAATATATGCAAAATTACTTCAAAAACTAGGTAATATCAAAAATGATATTGCTGATGCTGTAAAAGAATCTCTACCTGAAATCTTAAATGAAGCACTTAAAGATATTAATATTGGTGATAATATTAAACAAGCAATAACGAATGAAACAGAAAAAGTTATTAATAAAATTGATGAAGATCCAAAATATGATGATTTACAAAAACAAATTGACGATTTGAGAAATACTCAAAGACCAGTTTAATATTGCAATATAACTGTAGTTTAAAAAATATTTTATATAAGATATTTTTTATGTATTTTTTATTAAAATTTATTTTTTTTTTATATATAATAAATAAAATATTCAGTCATTTTTTTAAAAAATGGCTCTTCGTTTAAATTTAAGAAATTGGCAAAATAAATATGGTTCAGTTATTCAAATGCAGCAAAATATAAACAAAAGTATACATTATTATAATACTAAAGGAAGATTTCAAAAAAATAACAAACAACTATTAAATGAAATAAACAGATTATGTGAAGATCTTGTTGAAGCCAAAAAAGAAGCAAAAGAAGCAAATCAGAAATATCTTGAAGTAAAAGAAAAATTAGAAAAAGAAAAAGAACTTCATGCTGAAACAAAAAAAGAATTAAAAGAAGCTGAAGATGAACGTAAAAAACTTATAGATCAAAATATAAAAGAAAAAGAAAAGAATAAAGAACTTGAAGAAGAAAATAAAAGATTAGAAAAAACTATTGAAGAGCTTAAACATAATCATCAAATTGAAATTGATCAACTAAAACAAAAAATTAAAGATAAAGATGATGAGATTAATAACCTAAAAAATGAACGTGATAGATATAAAACAATAATTGAAACACAAAAAAAAGTTATCGATAATTTAGAAAAAGATAAAAAAGAATTAAATGATCTCTATGAACAATGTAAAAGAAATAATGTAAATTATGATTCTATAAAAGACCAATTAGAAACTCTTAAAAAAGAAAAAGAAAAACTTGAAGATGAAAACAAAGACTTGAAAGATAAAATAAATGAAAAAGAAAAAAAGATTGATGAGATAAATGATAATGTTAAAGAAATTTTTAGTGTAGTTAAAAATTTACCACCTACATTATTACGTGAAATAATTAAAGAAATGGAGAAAAATAATCATGAAACAGTTGATATTAAAGAACAAATAAAAGGATTACAACGATTATCTAGATGATCAGCAAATTTTATTTTTATTTATATTATTTATTTTATTTTTATTTATATAGTTTTATTTATTTTTTATATTGTTTATTTATAAATTATTTTTACAAATAAAAAATATATTTTATACAAAAAAAATATGTTATCAATTAATTTTATACAATATAAAAAAAAAAATTTTTAAAAAAAAATAATTAATCTAATTCTGGAAGAGGTTCTAAATCTATATCAGATTCTGGTTCTAATTCAGAAGGAGGTTTTAAATCTGTTTCAGATTCGAATTTTAATGCAAGAAAAACATTTTTGCATCTTAGATAAAGAATTTCAGTATCTTTTTCTTGTTTTTTTAGATTATTATATTGTTTTTTATATGCTTTTTTTTGTTGTATGAGATTATAAGGAATAGCTCCTCCATATTTTGATATTTGATTTTGTTTATTACGCCATTTGTTATACGCAGATTCTGAATTTCTTTTAGCTTTTTGCCAGTTATTATACAAAATTTGTTCTGAAATTTTAGTATTTGATTATTTTTTTTTATAGATATAAATAAAAAAAGATCTTTTTTTTTAATCGAAGAAAAAAAAGTTTTATTTATTATTATGTGATTTTAGATTTACATAATAAGAAAGATTTTTGTATTGTTCTTAATTTAGAACATTTGTTATCTTGATTATTATTACCTTTTTTGGTTTTATTGATATCATTATTCAAAAAACAGTTTTTAAGAAAAAATATCCAAAATATATTCCCATAATAAAAATAAATGAAATCATTGATATTTAAATTTATAATTTATGTTTTACAAAAAAATAAATACGTATTTATAATTATTTCAAATAAAGTTCATCTAGATATAACTTTGTTTTTTTATTTTTAAAGTATTTTTTTTTAATTTATCTAAATTTGTATTTATTGATTTATAATCAATTTGTCACAATAGGATCAAGATCTAACATTCTTTTGATTTCTTTTATACCAACTTTGATAAGGCACAAGAATTTATTTGTTTTAATTGATATGAAGGATTAAAGATTAAACGTTCAAGAAAATAATATATGAAAAAATTTTGTTATAAAAAAAGTTGAAATTTTTTCTCTTGTTTATTACGATTTATTCGTTTTACAATTTCAAAACCTTAAAATCTTTTAAATCAAAACTTAAAACTTCTTTAAAATGTATTCAAAAATTATTATTATCATTGTTATTATCTTTTCTCTTTTGGGTTTGTTCTTGATGAACCTCTCTATTGGTGAATATGATACATATATTCATCAATTCATCACAAACATTATTGAATCCAAAACCTTTTTTTGGATTTGTGTAATTATTATAAATATTCTTACAACATATATAATATTTTCTCTTTATCAATTATGGTTTTGGAACTTTATGTATGAACATTTTTCAGAACGATTAATTTATTAGGTAAATAAAATTTTATTAAATATAAATAAAATATAAATATGTACAATTACATAAATTTATAAGTTTGAAAATTTTTCCTAGCAAAAAAAAGAAAATCCTTTATCTTGAACTATTCATCTCTAGTTGGATTGTCCCATTCTTCTTTATTAGGGACTTCTATATTAAATATTTGCATCTCATCAAACTTTATAGGTTTGATTTTGTGAGTTGCAAGCATATTTGAATAGAGATCAATATTCTGCACTATGATCTCAACAACTCTACGAACTGTTGGCCCTTCTTTAAGCAGCTTAGCCATATCTGCTTGAAATTCTTCATTAAAAAAATGAAGATAAGAAACCCTGGAGATGTAGGAGTTGCCATTTTGTAAATTAGGTTTTCGTATTGTTTGTTTGGTAAAAGTTTTGAAAAAT